CCTGCGCCTCCGCTGCCTCCTGCTCCTCCGCTGCCTCCTACTCCTCCTGTTCCTCCGTCTCCAGCGTGTCCGGTGTCTCCTCATGTCATGTCAACGGTAAAATCTATGCGTGCAAATGAAGACGAAGGTTGCCCAGAAAACCGCCGCCCGTAAGAATCACAGTGCTTACGTATGCCTCGTTTTCACACTTCTTTTTCAAGCAGAAGACAGTGCCAAAAGGCGTTTTCCCGCCGGGTACGACATGTTTCTTGTATGTATGCCTGGCTGTGGTTGTTTTTTTAAATCAAATCTGACTGTCCGATGTTTGTTGTGCAGATGTGGTCATGGCGTGCCACGAGAACGGGTGGATGGACGCGGAGGGCGTCATTCGATGGCTTGAGGAGTGCGTCAAGCTCTTCTTAAAGCCCGGGTCTAGAAGGCATGCAAGGAGCTCGATGCTCGTACCGGATTCCTACCGCGGTCATCTCACTGAGGGGGTGAAGGAGAAATTCCGCGAGCTCAACTACGTGCCGGCCATCATCCCGTCGGGCTGCACGGTGGAGGTGTGGAAAGGAGAACGCGAATGAAGTGAGTACATATAGGAAACCCTAATTGGGTTGTACCCCCTATGGGATACCCCACTATAGCCTACACAACAGCATAAGCTATATAATGTTCTGACACACCCCCATAGACAAAGTGGGGGAGAACAAGGGGTCACAAGACCAGTCACGCAAAGCACAGCAAGCTCAGGGTGGATCACAAAGTCACCACACAGTCCGAGCACAACGACAAGGCCACAAGGCCAGTTCACATGCAGGAGGACACACATATATATAGAGCTAGACAAGCAAGAGCAGGTATATATATGTGACAGTACAAGCAAGGTCAAGAGGAGAGCAAGTGAGGCAAGACAGGTACAAGACCCAACTGAGTGCAGAAGCGCTGATGGTCACAAGGCGCAAGTGCCTTGGTGAACACATCAGCAGTGTTGGCCTCAGAGGCCACGTACGCAAGTCGCAACTGACCACGCTGCTGCAGCTCACGAGCAAGAAAGTAACGGAGAGCAATGTGCTTCGTTCTGTGCTCCAAGCGCTGCTCTCGACACAAGGCCAGCATGGCCTTGTTGTCTACGTACAGCACTGGAGGAGAACGAGGCTGCTCTCCAAGGTCAGTCAGCAGGTAGGTGAGCCAGCGAAGCTCCTGTGCAGCCATGGCCCCGGCGTAGATCTCAGCCTCACAACTGGAGCCGAGAACAGAGGACGAGCGAGTAGCCCGCCACGAGACAGAGCCGGAACCAAGACTGAAGGTGTAACCCTGCGACGACCGCTGCGTAGCCTGGTCGTCAGCCCAAGAAGCGTCCGCGTGCCCAGTGAGGACCACTGGACTCCGCCCTCCAAGCACTAGCCCCATGCCCGACGTACTGCACAAGTAGCGCAACACCCTCTTCGCTGCAGCCATGTGCTCTGGTCGGTGTCTCCCAGGAGCAACATAGCGTGCAAGAATGCTAAGAGGGTATGCAAGGTCAGGTCGTGTGCAGGTCATCAGGTACATGAGGCAGCCAACAAGCTCTGGGTACGGGCCACTCGACTCTACGGACTCATCCGAAGGCAGAGCTGAGAGCGAGTGGCGAGTAGACAGAGGAGTGGCCTGAGGCGAGGAGTACGTGAAGCCGAAGCGCTGAAGGACCTGCTGCACCATGTGTGACTGAGTCAAGGTAATGGTGCGGCGTGCTCTGTCCCGAGTGATCTGCAAGCCAAGGTAGCTGCGCAGTTCACCCAGGTCTGTGCACGTGTGTCTCTTCTGCAGCTCGGACTTCACGTAGGCTAGTCCAGCAGTGTCAGCTGTGGCAAAGACCAAGTCGTCGACGTACACGAGGATGTAGAACGGCGGCAAAGAAGTGTCGGTGCGCAGAAACAACGACGGGTCAGCAGTAGAGGGAGCAAACCCAAGAGCCGCAAGCGTAGTCCTCAGTGTGTCGTGCCACTCACGCGGTGCCTGGCGGAGACCGTAGACTGGCCGTCGGAGGCTCCACTGGGTGCCAGGAGGGAAAGTCCCAGTGAAGCCAGGTGGACGGCGCAGCCAGATCTCCTCGTGCAGGCTACCCTGCAAGAAAGCAGTGCTGAAGTCAAGAGAGTGGAGCTCGTAGTCGCGCTGAGCGGCTATGTGCAGCAGCACCCGAAGAGTGGTCATCTTCGGGGTGGGAGAGAAGGTCTGAAAGTAGTCAACTCCCTGCCGCTGACTGAAGCCACGAGCGACGTACCGCGCCTTGAAGACAGGTGGAGAGCCCGGCGGCCGCTTCACCCTGAAGATCCACATGCCACTGACGATGTTCGCCCCAGGAGGGGGCACCGCGTCAACGTAGGTGCCTGTGGACTTCCAGGACGCCATCTCTGCATCCATAGCTGCCTGCCACTGAGAGGAGTAGGGACCCTCTACGGCCTCCGCGTAAGAGCGCGGAGTCGGGATGTCTAGTGCATCCGGGTCTCCCTCAGGGGCAAGTAGTACGGACGCGAGATGAGGTGAAGCAGCAGCCAGACACTGGAACTCCTCCTGCCTGTCCTCAAGGACGTCCGTGCCAAGAGCACACTCACCCCCGACGGACGGAGGACAGACAGACGCAGACTCAGCAACAAGACCGGCAGCGTAGTCTAGACGACAGCGAGCAGCAAAGTCGACGAGCTCAGCAACAAGCGCAGACGCAGCAGTGGACTCAAAAGAGGGGTCAGTGACGACAGTAGCAAGGAGACGTGTGACAGTAGGACTAGCAGCACGAAGAGAGTCGGACTCTGGGTCGGTAAGTGCAGGAAGGGAGGACTCAGGAGGAGAAGGCAAAGGGGCACGCAGAGGAGCAGTGGACGGACGCAAAGACATCCGGTGCGTGCCAGGGACAGGAGGAGGACGCTGACGCGAACCGCGACCACTAGCGCGAGCAGCACGAACAGGCGACGCAGGCCGAGACGCAGGCTCACGACGCTCAGCAAGACCTCCAGTGGGACCAGTGTAAGGAGAGGGAGCAGGAAGTGGGGAGGCGGGCTCTAACTGGGACTGTGACTGAACAGGCGGTGGACACGCTGCAGGAGGAGAAAGACCAAGAACCTGCTGTAGGAGTGGAACGAAGTACGGCCGAGGCCGCGCGGCGACTCCAGACACAGCAGGGACAGCACCCTCAGCGGCAGCACCAGCGCCAACAGCACCTCCAGCGGCAGGACCTCCAGCAGCACCAGCAGCACCCGCAGCAGGACCACCGCCAGGAAGGACAGCAGCAGTCTCAGCACCAACACCCGCAGCAGCTCCAGCTCCAGGCGGACCCGAGGGCCCAGCAGCTCCGGGACCAGCGGCACAAGTACCCTCAGCAGCCGAAGGAGCTCCAGCTCCAGCAGTACGTCTCCAGCGGCGAGCAAACCACTCGCGCAGCTCCTGTGGAGAGAGGGGCTCCCGCCGAGGCGAAGAACCCGGAGAACCGCCAGGTCCCGCACCGCCAGACGCCACAAGGGGAGGTCCAGTGGCCGCAGGCTCCGCAGCTCCAGGCTCAGCAGCTCCAGACGCAGCACCCCCTGGCTCAGCACCCCTAGTCGCAGCACCCCCAGGCTCAGCACCCCCAGACTCCGCACCCCCAGGCTCAGCACCCCCAGTCGCAGTACCCCCAGGCTCAGCACCCCCAGACTCAGCACCCCCAGGCTCAGCACCCCCAGGCTCAGCACCCACGCGCGTAGCACCCCCAGAGTCAGCACCCCCAGGCTCAGCACCCGCAGCAGGACCAGAGTCACCAGCAACCTCGACCGGCTCGACTGCGTCTACCTGGGACACACCTGAAGGGGCAGGACCCTGAGGGGGAAGGGGGTCTACCGGGGGGGGACCTGGCACAAGGAAGTGCGGTGGCGGGGGGAGGGAAGGAGTGCGGTAGGGGAAGAGGCGGTAGAAGGGGACTGACTCGTCGAACGTGACGTCCTGGGAGGACAGAACACGACGAGAGGAGGGGTGGTAGAACTGCCACCCTGGGGCGTCAGGGGGGAAGCCGAGGAAGACACAGGGAGCAGCACGAGGGGACAGCTTGTCCGCAGACAAGTCGCGGAGAAACGCCCGAGATCCCCAGACACCGAACGCAGACGCATCGCCGACCTTCCCCGTCCACAGCAGAGCTGGGGAGGTCTCCGGCCGGGAGACCCTGGGGTGAAGGTTGATCTGATGCGCCGCGTACCGAACCGCAAACGGCCACAGAAAATGGGGGGCAGCCGCATGCATCATGGACGTACGAGCGACGTCCATGACCATGCCAATGCGGCGCTCAGCAATCCCATTTTGCTGTGGAGAGTCCGGAAGCGTAAAGGTCTGGCGGATGCCTCGTGCACGACAGTAGGCTCGCAGAAGGCCAGAGGAGAACTCTCCACCTCGGTCAGAGTGCAGACGCAGAACAGGAAAGTCCGAGCCGAAGCTCCTCCTGAGCTGGAGACGAGCTGCGCGGATCCAGTCGATCAACACCTCAGTGACATCACCCTTGCTGCGCAAGGGGAAGACTGTGGTGTAACGCGAGTAGTCGTCAACCACCAGCAGGAAGTAGCGCTCGTGACCCTGCCCACGGACGCGGGCCGGGCCCCACACGTCCATGTGAAGCGTCTGCAGAGGAGCCTCTGTCGGGGGAAACTGGGAGGAGTGAGGGGCAGCCCGGAGCCGCCCCTCGACACAGGGGACACAGGAAGGTCCGGGTCCCGAAGGAAGGGGAGGGAGAGACCGGGGAAGACCAGAGACAAGGACACGGGAAGCCATGCCCCGAAGACGAGGCAAGGAGGGGTGGCCAAGACGGTGGTGCCACAGGAGAGTCTCCTGAGACAGGCGGCGACACGAGCAGGGGGCAGACTCAGGACCAGACCTGGACGCAGCAGCAAACACCTGACCCGACGCAGCTACCTGGCCAGACGCAGGGACAGGAGGAGACTCAGTGGTCAGGGTGTAGAGACTCGACCCCGGCCGACGCGAAAACGTGGCCAGGTGTCGGCCTGTGCGGGCGTCCGAGCAGTGGGTCACCCGCTGACTCGCAGGAGTAAACTGGTGAACCCCCGCATCCTGCAGGTCAGCACCACTCACCAAGTTCGTCGAGAACGAGGGGAGGTACAGACCAGACAAGGTGCCCGAGGGGGCAGCCGGACACGGGAGGACAGTGGAGAAGTGAGAGAGGACAGGACCCCCAGAGGGGTCAGCCAGGGAGACTGCAACCGGCCGGCCAAGCGGCGTGAGTGTGGTGCGGTCTCGAAAGAAGGAGCGAGAAGCCCCTGAGTCAAGCGTGAAGGTGAGGGAGGCCGAAGCCGACGCAGTACCTGAGAGCGCAGCCTCACCAGTACCTGAGAGTGCAGACGCACTGGCACCTAGAGCAGCAGCCGCAGAAGTACCTAGCGCAGCAGTACCAATGCCCGGGTCGGGCGGGAAACACCGGTAACAGTCACCCTCCTCACTAATAGTCACAGCATACATGGCAGCAAGGATAGCATCAAAGTCAAGATCAAAGATAGCTACGCCAGCGCTAGACAGCTCTCCCCAACGGGGAATCTCACTAGCCTCGGGGAACTGCTGACGCCACGCGTCCGTCAGGCGGCCAAAGCAGCGCTGGGTGGGGTGGGCACCCCCACACTGCTCACCCGCGCGGTCGCCGGAACGAAGGACGTAGGTGCACGGACCAAAACCCCCACCCCGCTGACGCTGCGTGTACCACTCACGGAGCTGCTGGGGCGGGGGGATGTCCCGCGAACGCTGCTGCTGCTGCTGCTGCTGACGCTGGCCACCACCAGAGCCGCTACGCTGCGGGGCACCACCCCGACCAGCTCCACCCCCTCCGCCACCGCCGCCTCCACCTCCACCACCACCGCTGCCTCCGCTCCCACCGCTGCCGCCACCACCGCCTCCTCCTCCGCTGCTGCCACCGCCACCACCGCCCCCGCCACCACTCCCACCGCCACCCCCACTCCCTCCGCCGCCTCCACCGCCACCTCCACCGCCCCCGCCAGTTCCACCCGCGCCCTTGCCCCCCTTGCCCCTGCCAGGGCGGCGTCTCCCGCTAGGGGCAGACGCCGCGCAGACCGACTCAAGACCAAGCAGGTCGGCAGCAGCAGCAGAGGCAACAGAGGGCAGCAGGGGGGAAGGAGAACACCCCTCAAAGATGGGGGTGCGAGGGTCACCACGAGAGGCTCCTACAGCGACGATGCTCTTCTCCGCCGCCAGGAGGGACTTCTCGAGGAGGTCGACAGTGAGAGTGGTGGGACAGACTGAGAGGAAGTGGTCCCTGACTACGCGAAGGGAGTCAGGGAGGCGTGTGACTATGTAATAGAGAGTGATGTACATGGGGGGGGGGTTCTTGGCGCAGAACTCAGCAGGAAGGGCGGCGCGGTAGCGAGTGTCACTAGTGCGGAGGTGCGTAATGAGGTCAGCGACAGTGGGAAAGGCAGCAAGGTCAGGAAAGAGGTACGGTAGCATGAGGCGGCTCAGGGCAGCAGTGGCAGGGGAAGAGTAGCGCGCAACTACAGCGTCGTACAAGGTCTGAGCACTCTTGTACTGACTAAAGTGCGCGCGCTCAGTGGTAGGCAGGTGGCGACGCACAGCAAGACGTGCAGCAGCATCGCGGGTGGCCCACTGAGAGCGAACAGTGGGGTCAGCATCAGCAGCAGGGGCAGGAGAGGCGCCAGAGGTGAGGTCAAAGAGGGAAAGACCGTCCGCCCTATCGCACTGTAAGAACAGCTGCAGGTCGTCGACCCAGACCTCAAAGTCAATGGCTCGACCCTCAGCGTCAAAAGCGAGGACACTAGGGGTAGCCATGACGACGACAGTGTAGTAGTGCAAGCAGTAGGGGAAGGGCACGCAGTAACAGTGGTGCTGTGCTCACCAGGCAGGGCAGGTCGGGCGGCTCGGCAGTAGGGCGGCCCGGCGGCTGGGCGGCTCGGCGGCTCGGCTGCTGGGCGGCTCGGCTCCCGGGCGGCTCGGCGGCAGGGCGGCTCGGCGGCAGGGCGGCTCGGCTCCCGGGCGGCTCGGCTGCTGGGCGGCTCGGCGGCAGGGCGGCTCGGCGGTCGTAGGCGGCGGGGCCGGTGAGGATAGGTGGCGGGGCCGGTACCGTAGGCGGCGGGGCCGCGAAGTGGGGCGGCGGGGCCGCGTAGGTGAGGGCGGCGGGGCCGCAAAGTGAGGGCGGCGGGGCCGCGACGTGAGGGCGGCGGGGCCGCGAAGGTGAGGGCGGCAGGGCCGCGTAGGCAAGGGCGGCGAGGCCGCGACGTGAGGGCGGCGGGGCCGCGACGTGAGGGCGGCGGGGCCGCGTAGGTGAGGGCGGCGGGGCCGCGTAGGCAAGGGCGGTGGGGCCGCGACGTGAGGGCGGCGGGGCCGCGACGTGAGGGCGGCGGGGCCGCGACTTATGGGCGGCGGGGCCGCGTAGGTGAGGGCGGCGGGGCCGCGACGTGAGGGCGGCGGGGCCGCGACTTAAGGGCGGCGGGGCCGCGTAGGTGAGGGCGGCGGGGCCGCGACGTGAGGGCGGCTGGGCCGCGACGTAAGGGCGGCGGGCTCGCGTAGGTAAGGGCGGCGCAACGGGCCGCTAGGGGCGACACGGAGGGTCGCTAAAAAAAAAAAAAAGGAAAGCGCGCCTCGGGGCGCGCTTCGGTGGGCCCTAGAAACAGTCCCTAGGAGGGGACCTGCTCTGATTCCATGTGGTAAGGAGAACGCGAATGAAGTGAGTACATATAGGAAACCCTAATTGGGTTGTACCCCCTATGGGATACCCCACTATAGCCTACACAACAGCATAAGCTATATAATGTTCTGACAGGAGGTGCATCCCCTCGGCATCTCCATCAACAAGAGCTTCAAGGCGAGCGTCCGCCAGCAATACCAGAAGTGGTTTCAGAAAGAGGGTTAAGAACAGCTGACCAAAGCAGGTACGGCAGCCACGCGATTAATCCGTATGCCCTTGAAGTATCCCCCCTTTGTTGCACTAACTATATTCTATCTTGTGGTTTTTTGTTGGTGCAGGGAACTTGAAGAAGCCGCCCCCAGAGGTGGTTGTCCAGTCGATCTCACGGGCCTAGAAGGCAGTGCCCGCCGATCTCATCAAGTGCGCCTTCCTCACCTGTGGCATCAGCAACGCGCTTGACGGCAGTGAGGACGTGTTCACCATGGCGCACAGGCGGAGCCAGTTGACGGCGGAAGTGGGCGTCGATGATGCTATCATCGCCGATGGCTTCTTTGGCAACAACTGCGAGGAGCTCGAGTCTGACGAGGAGGAGTAGATTCTAGGTAGATACGCAAAACTACGAAATATTATCATGTTAGACTGGACATTGTTAATTGTTAGTATTTTTTTTAATGAGACCTCCAGAAAGTTACAAGGGTGCGCTTATAATAAGGAAAGCCTCCAAAGGGGGGGCGCTTATAATCGAGTTCCGGCCATAAGCGCCATGCTCCAGATAGAAGCGCAGGCGCCCTTAATCGGACGTCGCTTATATCCGGGGCCATACAATATTATCATAACTATTAATATTTTGAATTCCCGTGCGTAACAGGGACACAAAATTAATGAGTACGAAGACTAAAGGACGTGAGAAAGCGAAGGGTCATGGACGGTTACCATCAAGACCGATGCTAGCGGAAACATTAAAGAGTAAAAGGCGAAAACCGTTTTGAAACGGGTTCCCGCGCCACACAATAACTGTAATACTAGAATGTATTCATCAGTACGTGGCTAGATATGACTTTCGAATTACCTATAAGATTATATAAACGGACGTATGGCATTGTTATACGGTAGTCACTGTTGTCACTTTACAATCCACTTTGACAGATCTCAATAAGTATCCCGCTATGCAATCACCCAGCGATCAAACCCTGCGGAACATTCACAAATTGTAACACTCGGCCGCCGCATTGGCACCAAGTATCAGGCAAGACGAGTTACCTCTGAGTGACAATTGCACTGCTACATGATCATCGTTAATCCTTCCGAGAGCCTTCCGCTGCACTTTAGCAACCTATGGATTCTATTAGCGTATCAAAGCAAGCGTTCTTATTCTTGGAATATGTGAGAGCACGCTTATACAATTCAACTTACCATTTGAATTATTGCAAGGAGCATCTTTTGGAGCAGGTTCACACCTGTCGCAACCCACGAAGCACCACGTATGAGCGAATTTCAACATGCTGTTGCAATATTTGAAACGGATCGACGAGACATCGATCAAGGCATTGTGGCAAAGTCCATGGCAAGGACGTCACATATTGAACATGGTAGAACTTCACATCTCCTCTTGTACACTCTAGTAGTGGAGGAGGGTGTTGCAATGATGATGTATGGTTTCTATTATGAGCTACAATATTCGAAGTGTGGTAGTGAGTAGCGCCATACCGAGGGTGTTGACTGCGGAGGGTCACTCTACACCGCGGTAGCTGAAGTACGTGGGAAGATGCGATTTGTATGAATAAATTAGCAAGAGTTTCACCAGCAAAAGGGGATTACACAATGATGGCAATAGTAATGGCAAAGTGGACTACATCAGATGCAGGCTACCTAGCACACAGGGCAAGTTGACCTCGAACGCAGCACGAGGGCGGCTTGAGAGCATAGCAAGTCGGCGGCGTGCTAATGCAGCTGGGAGGCGGCTTGCCAATACTGCAAGTCGGCGACCTGCCAGCACTCCACCAGGGTAGCTTGCCAACGGTGCAACAATGCGACTTACCAGCGTTGCAACCGCAGTGAATATACGTGCATGTGCGCACTCGCAGGTCGACGGTCGAGCACTTCGTGTCTCATTTTGCACACCACGTAGGTGCCAAGTCACCTACATGCCGACAGTTGCGCGTGATGCACCACGTCGACCTCAGGATACCAGCCCGCATGCTGACTTCGCCAAAGAAGAACGACGTTCGCGCACCCCCGTCAAGCTTCGTCGCCTTAGTTACTCGGTCGACTGGAAAAGCCTCAAAGCAGCGTCGACTTGACAGGTCGACGAGCGTCTTTGTCGACCGACGTCTGCCAGGTTGACGAGCGCCTTCGTCGAGCTCTCAGGCCTGGCACTACCGTCGACTTCGCTGATGCCGCCGGAGTGTTTCGGCCGAAGTTGACCACGGTCGTCGACTTCACACTCCAGGTCGATACCGACCACTACGCCCAGCCGGCCGCACACCTCGTGTGCAGGTCAGCGATGTCGGCTTCGCCCAAGGGAGGGCAGGGCCATCTTTCCCGTTAACATTGACAACAGTGGCGAGCTACAGGGGCGGAACCGTACATAGTGCTTGCGAGACTCGTAAGGGTCGAATTGATTAGTCGCAACCTGTACCGTTCCGCGAAACCGCGTTGCAAGGTGCGACAGAATTCCTCGGCTTTGCCGAAGCTAAGATGTCGCGTTAGCGTGATTGTATTATAGCAACTGCTATATAGTTGCCTTATGGTAACTGCCTCTAGTTCTTCCTATATAACTCAATGTGCATCTTTATCATTACTACATAATTATCATCCTTGTGTCCAGCTAACCCTAGGTGGCCGCATTGGCACAAAGTACCAGGCCAGAAGAGCTAGCTTGGTGTGACCATTTTCCGGCTGCAAGATCGTCATTAATACAACCTAAAGCATTGCGGAGAGTCACTCTACAAGGTAGTGAGCTAGACTACGGGGGGGAGGGGGGTTGGCACGAACTACTAGGAGTGATCGTAGCTTTGCTTAGTTCCTTAGCACTTGCGCATTCACGGGAGAAAGCGGCAAGAGTTTCGCTAGGTAAAGATTGCATTACAGAATTATTAAGCAATAATAAGAATGACTACATCAGGCACCTATCAACTCTGCAGCTAGCCTGGTCGACCGCCAGCACAACTTGGTCAACCGCCTGCCGGCGTTGCGTAGAGGAGTCGCGCTAGCACTGCAGAAAGGCAACCTGCCAACACAGCAGGTCGACGGTGTGCCAACGCTGCAGCAGAGCAGCTTTTCAGCGTTGCACCCGTAGATGGCAGCAGTGCGCACGCTCGCAGGTGCGCGTAGACGATTAGCCCGACTTGCATAGTTGTGTATTCGTCGACTGTTGTCTGCGCACGACGAGCCACATCGACTTCGCGATACTAGCCCGAAGTCGCCTTCGTCACCGCGACCTCGACGACGTTTGCGTGCCTCTGCAGAACTCGCCGAGTGTGAAAGATAGAACGAGGAATGATTGCATTGAGCAGCATGAGGAGTACAAGTAGGAAACTCTAAAGTGTTGTACCCTATATGAACTACCCCACTACAGCCTACACAGACTATAGCATATAAGTTTGACACACCCCCATAGGCAAAGTGGGGGGGAACAAGAGGTCACAAAACCAGTCAAGAGAAGCAAAGCAAGCTCAGAGTGGATCACGAAGTCACCACGCATTCTGAGCACAAGCAAATGGCCACAAGGCCAGTTCACATGCAGAGTTATATAAAGACAAACAAACAATACAGTGATCACAACCTAGCAAGTGTAAGCATGCAGGTATAGGTATAAAGATCATAGTACAAGCAAAGTCAAGAAGTAAGCAAGTGAGGCCCAGTGGGCACAAGGCCTAGAACACTACAAAAACGCTGATGATCATAAGGCTGAAGTGTCTTGGTGAAGACATCAGCAGTGTTGGCCCGAGTGGCCACGTAAGCAAGACGAAGCTGACCACGCTGCTGTAACTCTCGAGCAAGGAAGTAACGCAGAGCGATGTGCTTCGTTCTGTGCTCCAGTCTGTGCTCCTAACACAAGGCAATCATGGCCTTGTTGTCGACGTACAGCACTGGAGGAGAACGAGGCGGCTCTCCCAGGTCGGTCAGCAGGTAGGTGAGCCAG